AGAAGAATGAACAACAGTTGGACGGAACTGGAGACGAAATCCCAGGACAGAGTCAGTTGGAGGATACTGCTGGGCGACCTATGCTCCAATAGGGGTAACAGGCGTAAGTAAGTAAGTTAGTAGTGTCTACTTGTTCGAAACTAGTGTAATATGAGAACGAATCAAGACCAGACTGTATATAATGATACTTGGAGTAGACACTTGAATTTCTACTCAATGGTCAAAAGTTTAAGCACTCACAAGCGAGATCTAATATCTTGGTTTCGATTGCTGCGTACAGAAGTCGTGGATGTACACTGTTGATGAGTCCTATACTAAGTAAAAACGGTCATCCGGTATTTCCAGATTTCCAACAGTTAACATATTGTCCTATGGTTTAAACATTCTGAAATCTTCAAAACTTTATGAAGTTTTCTTCTCAAACACCTAAGTCTATTGACTATATTTCTAAATAAATTCCTATGAGACTAAATGTGCTTAGCATTGAAAAGTTAGTGTATTTACATACTTCTAAATTATATAGACCTTACAACAGGTTTAATTTTTAAACTCTCTAACCTTTTTTATTTAATTTAAATCCCATATTTATCTAAACTAACTTAGCATTCTCTCACTTATAATCATTGCTTATATAAATACATATATTCCTAATTGAATGATGTAGAGTGCTGCCTAATTCTTACAGTTTTTTTTTATCGTCTCTCTCATGCTCTGAACTAGTCTTCAATAAGAGAAAGAAAATATTCTTGTGTATAAATTAATTCCCTCATGTCTCCCTTATTTACATCGTTTATACAGTTATCCCACGAACACAAATATATATATACACAAATATATTTGGTCTGATTATTAGAAAGTTATCAGACAAAAAAATTTTTTATCAAAAAATCAAGGTCACACATATGGAGTCATGACTAGAGCTGGATGGGAAAAATAAACAGCAGTATCTTTTTTATTTTCCACTTTTAATCCTGATAAGCTTTTCCTGGTTTATTTTTTTCAATAATAAATGAAACAAGGGAAATACTGTTTGTTTGTGTAGGGGCAGCAGACTACGAGTTGTTTTTTTGTCGGACTAAAAGATAAGTTTGAAAACGGTAGACGAAACCAGTGAATCATTTCTTTCTTTAATTAAAACATGTAAACGTACAATAAAATAATTTACTTTCTCCATGCTTATCATTTGTAATGTAGCTTAATTAGAATCATCAAAATAGAAACGAACGAAAAATGTAACGATTTAAATACAAGAAGAATGAAAAAGGCAATGAGTTATTCATTGACTGGAGTTCATAGGTTCTATTCATCTTTGTTCTGGTGTGGTGTATGCTACTTATACGAACGATATAAGTAGTATAAGAAGGGACGTGTAAGAAGATGTCACACGGTCAGAAGAGGAAAACGGAAATCAAATGGAGCAAAAGCAAGAAGTAAATGGAGGAGTACCAACAGGAAGTAAAGGAAGCAACAACAGGAATGGAAGAAGGCTGGAGCGTTGGAAGTCACGACTCAAAGATGGTGTGCAAATAGGGTATTCATTGTAATGTTTTCGTTTTTTATTGACTAAGAGTGTAAATTTGCACAATACAGTCTTCCTCACCTGCCTCAGTCTTCTCACTGGTCTGATAATAACGAGATACGTAGAATAAATAAATGTTATCATACCCGATTACTTACGCCTGTTACTCTCTAGTGGAGCATAGTCAGGTCGACCAGTATTCTACAACCTACTCTGTCCTATGCCCTTCTTTCTAGGTTCTATCCAATTGTTGTTCGTTTTTTTCATATCTGTCTTCAACCAAATCTCGGTGTAATGTGATTTTGGTGTTCCTCTTTTACTTCGACCTTGAGGATCTCAAGTGAGGGCTTATTTTGGGACTCACTTGCGTGCATCCCGAAATGTGTGTTCTATCTCTTTTCAGCTCTTTTTCCTGAATTCTTCGCCTGCTGGAATTTGATTTGTTCTATTCCACAGTAGGTTGTTGCTGATAGTGTCTGGCGAACGGATTTAAAGTATTTTGCTTAGACAACTCTTAATGAATATTTGTATCTTCTGGATGATGGCGCTCATGATTCTCCAAGTTCGTGACCCATACAGTAGAACTGTCTTGACATTTGTGTTTAAGATTATGACTTTGGTGTTGGTTGATAGTTGTTAGGAGTTCCAGATATTCTTCATTTGCAGAAATGCTACCTTTCCTTTGCCGATCCGTGTCTTTACATCTGCATCAAATCCACCTTGCTCATCAATAATGATTCCCAGTTATGTAAAGATTTCCACATTCTCTAAAACTTCTCCGTCAAGTGTGATTTGATTGGTGCATGTTGTCACCTATTGAAGAGTCTGTTTTTTTCCTTGCGTATGCTGAGACCTACTACTGTTGAGGCTGCCGCTACACTGTTCCTGTTCTCCTGCATTTGTTGTTGCATGTGGGATAAAAGACCCAGATTGTCTGTCAAGTACGAGTCGTCCAGCTGCATCATATCTGTCCACTCTATCCTTACTCCCCATGAGATATTGACACCATTCAACCGCCAGAAGAAGGAGAAGGAGTGAAAGTTGGCAACTTCATCTGATGCCGGTCTTAACTTGGAACGAGTCTGTGAGCTGCCCTCGATACAGCAGTCTAATCCATCATAAGAATTCCGTATAATGTTGACTATCTTCTCAAGCATACAGCATATTGGTTTGTAATTTACTTGGTCAGATAATGGATAAAACTTGGTTCATTTCAAAGATAACGTTTGTTTTTCTTTATCAACTGATATCAAATTTATGGTGGAGTTTTGTCCTTTAAGGTGGGTAGTTTAGTTGTGGAACTTTCATTGTCCTTTTAAACAACATCATCAGTCCAAGTTTGAAATTACTAATGACTTAAGAACCACAGCGAAGTTATTTTGTTCAAATTTCCAAACTTAGTAAAAATAATTAGTCTTCATTTCTAACACAATACCATAATCCTACTAAAATGAAATCCATAAGTATATACTTTTTAATTTCAGTCAATTTATGACTAAAAGAAAAGGTTTTTTCTACTGTATAATCAACCGTTTGGATATTGTGTCGTTCAAAATACAATCAATTTTATGAGTGATCGATCACTGAGCGGTGACTAATGTCATGAGTGTCAGGTCATTCGTGGTGCTAATCAAATTCTATCGATCGATTTGTAATGTAGTCATTAATTTAAATGATTCGATATTGGGTGCACTATGTTAAAATGTAAGGTGTTGGTTGAAGGTAGTCAACAGTGTAAACTCTGTTAGACTTAGGTTTCGTACTATTCGGTATTGATCAATAAGCTGTAAATGTATTCTTGAGGAACTGATACTCCCTGGCGGATTTGATCTCGAATCACCTAGCTTCACAGTCAAAGACGGTACTACTCGTCTTTCCAGTTTGACCTCTGTTAGGATCGAAATATAGGTGATCTATCATTGGCTAGTGACCAGCACTCGTTATTGGACTGAGCCTTGTAGATACATCGATATTGATCCTATAAGAGGCCATTCACAATCTAGATAGCCCACTGGTAATGTCCCTAACTTGAAAGCTGGTTGATATGGATCTGAGTGCTCCGAGAAGCATCGATTCCCTCAAGATTACCGGTGTACTTCTTGCTGAAGAGTGACAAACAGCACGAAACCTAGGTCAGTCAAAGTTCCCTGTTGACTGCCTCCAACCACAACCTTACAGATGACATAAAAATGAAGTCATGATACAAAACCCAGTTGAAAAAGAATATTTCTTCATCCTATTCGGATCCTTACTGAATGTCTGAATGAGAAATTATGTAAGTTTTCATTGTTTAAACAACACTATGTTTAATTGACTAAATATCACTTTATATGAAACAATTTGAGGATACTTTATTAACAGCTAAACTTGAATCAATGATTTTGTAGTTTGTGAATTACAGACTGATATCAGTTAAAAATAACCACAGAAAACCTTAGATTTTGCAATGACTTTTTGTCACTGACCAATCGGAAGTCGAAGCCAAGGTATTCAGGTCTCCCAGAGGTTGTTTAATCTTCAAGTAGTTGAGTTGGCATTCGCTGACTTACATTTCTAATTTCAATCAGTTTTTGATATTTCCCTAATCATTTTCTAATGAAATCAGTGTGAAGTTACTTTATCTCACTCATCAGTGAGTTCTATTGGTTACGGCTTCTTAATAGAACTCTAGAATATATCACTTAAAGTTCATCACTAGTGAATACAAAGTTATTCTTAGTATAGATGGTTTGTGGCGAATTATGAATTTGAAAACGCCTGTTTTCAGTGCTTTCAAATACACTTGATATCTGCCATTTGATTGTTTTAAGCTTTAACAATGGATTACAACAATCTTGCATGGTGTCCTGTGACAAACCTTCAGGTCTCTTGGGTTTTCAATGACTCTCTAACTGACGTTGATCAGTGTTGCAACAGTTATTTAAAGAAACGATAAATCTTTCAAAATCACCATTATCAGTAAAAGACATGTTAGTTTGCTTATCGATTCATGATTTCAAATGTGTAACTTAACAGTCTTCACAACCCGGTAATGCAATTACTTATGCTCCCTAGTGACTAGCTCCGTGAGGAATGTTCTCCAAGTTCTAGTGGGAAGTCGTGACCAGTGAAGTTCAACCCTCTTCGGGTGTAGACAGTGACTACTGAACACAGTGAATGAGGTTGTGCAACTCCGTTAGTTGGTCGAGGTTAGACTCAGTGGTTCAGACGTTAGGCGTACGTGCACAAGACCGAAGCTCGCGGGTCCGAATCTCGCGAGGTGCAGGAGTCGTGGATGCGCACTGCCACTGATGAGTCCCGTACCAGGACAAAACGGTTGTTATCCAATGCTTCCAGGTTTCTAATGGTGATCTAACAACATTGACCGATTTCATAATTCTTAAATATATAACTTATTTTTACATCAAAAAATATACTATAAATAAAACACTTATTTCTAACAGTTCGTTAATGCTCTCAAATAACATAAGTAAATACTTACTTTAGGCTTTAAAATTGATGTTTCATTCGATTCACTTGAAACTTTATTCATTTGATCATTTTTTGGAGTTAAATTATCTACTCCTTTTATTTCATTATCAATATTTGAAGTATTTAGCTTTGTCGATTGATTAATTCCACTTTTCACTGAACAACGTGCATGTTCCTCTGGAAGAACCCATGGTGGAACAGCACCAGCTTCACGTCGATGTGACATTTAGCCAGTCAATTAGTTGTATTGAAAAAAAAAATCAAAAAATAATCCTTTTTATTATTTTTATTCAATCTACCATTGAACAAATTGTTTAAATGAATATGATAATATAATTTAATTTTTTTCTGTATGATTTATATTAACGTTATCCAGAAAAAAAAACAACATTACCTACGATTGGTTCCTAAATTCTATCTATCAATCAATGAAATAAATGGTAAGTCATTTTTGATTGGTTAAAACAATGATCATATAAAATGTTGAATATTGAACAAATAAATTACAGATATAAGTATGTATGTATGTATGTATGTATGTATTAGTTGATATTCGAACTCATAGCATAAAATGTTTTAGTTGAATGAGTTTAGGAAGAGAAATTGGTTTGTATTTTTGATGGAAAGGCATAATATAATTGGTTGAAATGATATTTGTTATGCTGTAATTAATTATATATTAGATAATGAATGACGTTGTGTTCTGTGTAATCGGGAAAAATAATGGAAAATTCTAGATAAACATTATGCAATGGATTTTATGTATTATAACTTGATGCTGAGAGAAAAAAAATTAACCAATCAAATTCATGGATTATAGGATAACTATTTTTTTGTTTTATCTATCCTGTGATTGGTTAGAATTTAATTAGGCTATCGTTTCCTTTATAGTATAAACACAGTTATTGTTGTAACAATGAACATTCTGTCAACAGGCTAGAAAACAATATTATTCGGTTTGTTTGACATTCTTTCAAGATTGACTTGTTTTAGGAGAGGTCAATTCAATAGAGTTTTATCTACATACCGGAAGATGAGCGAATACAATTGAGGAAATTTTTTTTTAGGAATTTACCGGATTAGTGGATTAGATACTTTGTGATTTTATTGTTAAAGTTGATTTGTTTCTTCAGATTTTTTAAGGTCACTTAGAAGTAATATGAATAGCCTAGTTTTGTGTATTTTAATTAGCTTTGAAGTAAAATGTCCATTGGTACTTTATGTCTATTCTCTACTCTTCAGGTCTGAAGGGTAATGGACCTTCTACCAGGAAAATCGCTTGTCGACTTAGAATATGCCGATGACATAGTTTTACTTGGTGAAGACGCTGACAAAATGTAGAGCCTTTTGACTACCAAAAGCAACAATGCAAGCATATTACGGATGCGGTTCTCCCCGTCGAAATGTAAAATGTTGCTTCAGGAATGGGTTGCATCGGCACCTGAACTAGTGATAGGGAGTGAAGTAGTCGAACGTGTAAACCGCTTCACGTATCTTGGAAGTCTCACCAGTGCTGATGGCTTCAGCTAGGATACAGTAGGCTCGACTGGCTTTTGCCAACCTGCGTCACTTATGGCGTAGACGAGATATCCGTCTCCTGACTACTGCGCGGTAGTTCTCTCCGTTTTACTCAATGGCTGTGAAACTTGGCCAATGAGAGTAGAAGATATTCGTAGGTTACTGGTTTTCCATCATCGGTGTCTCCGAAGCACTGCTCAAGTACCGTGGGACAGCAGAGTAAGCAATGCTGTTATTAGGACACAGGTGCTAGGTAAGGATGGCAGGTCAATAAATGAAGTAATGAAACATTGTCGGTTTAGGTGGTTAGGACATGTGTTGCGTATATCTAACCACTGACTGCCTCATCAAGCTATGTTTTCTGGTGTAGGAGTAGGTTGGAAGAAAGTTATGGGCGAGCAGACCAAAATATGAAGTCACGGACTAGTGGATTAAGTTATGTTATTAGGTTTCGACCACCTGGTTGGGGTCCGCGAGATGATAACAATCGGTGGTTAGAGATCCTAAATGACATTGCTCAAAACCTTTCACAATGGCACAAGTGCATCCATTCTTTGTGTTCTCTCAAATCTTAACCTTCGGAGTTCCTCATCACCTTCCTCTTTTCTCTTTAAGTTTATTTTACTAGATTCTACTTCTTGAATAATATCCTCGAATCCTAATCTCTCCGATTACTGTTAATACCATCACTACCTCTACTACTATGGAGTTTGAATTGACAATTGCATCTCTGTGCTAATATGGTATGGCAACATGAACTGATGTTCATACGTACGTACGAAGTTCTGCGTTGCTAATGATTGATTAAGTGACTGAAGGGTAGAGGAGATGTGGGAATCTAGGAAACGGATAAGCAATTATTATTAAGAGTTCTAGAAACGGATATTATCATCTCTGGGCCACCTAACTTGACGCGACCTGTGGTCATTTAGTGTGAGTTGTTGAGTCAGAATGACAATATGTCAAAAGAATTTATATCGGCGTATTGCCTTCATCTTCTCAATTACAATCAGGAATAAAAGTAGTCTTTTAAATCGATGAGAATTGAAATTTTCAGTTTTATGTGATGAGTATTTGTGAAATTAGTTGATCAGAAGTTTATTTAGCCCCCCTTAAAGTGTAAATGAACTCTTAGCCAGTGTACTTTCTAATCTCGTGATCCAATTATGTAACCACGTAACGGTTAAATATCATAACAATTTTATAAAAGTGTAACAAACGACTGATAACTTGAATATTTGAATGTTGATTTGAAAGTTCATGATCCAGATAAACTTACATATTGTTTTGAAGATTGTATACATGACCTAAAATTATTTGATAAGATTTATTGATAGCTTGCTTTGAGACGCTATCGAATGCTTTCTCATAGTCGATGAAGTTGATGTAGAGTGGTGAATTCCATTCAATTGATTGTTCCACAATGATCCATAACGTAGCAATTTGGTCGGTACACGATCGATCCTTACGAAATCCGGCCTGTTGATCTCGAAGTTGGGCGTCTACGAAGTCCTTCATTGTGTTTAAGAATACCCTGTTGAAGACTTTGCCTGGTATTGAGAGAATAGTGATGCCTGTGTAGTTCTCACATTTGCTGAGATCGCCTTTCTTTGGTATTTTGATCAGGTATCCTTCTTTCCAATCTGATGGTACTTGTTCCTCATCCCAAATCTTCTTGAAGAGGATGTGAAATATTTTTGCAGTTGCTTCTACATCTGCTTTCATTGCCTCTGCTGGAATGTTGTCTGATCCTGCTGCTTTGCCACTCTTGATTTGTCTGATGGCCATACTGATCTCTTAAATTGTAGGTGCGTCAATATTAATTGGGAGATTGTTAAAATGTACAAAGAACCAATGTATATTTAGAGCTTCTCATACAGTGTGAAAACATCACTAAAATCATGAAAGCGACAAGTAGCAAGTGTTACACTGTCACTCAATTACTTTATACCACAACGACATATCAAAAATCCCATCAAGATGTGACAGGATGGAAATCCTCCATCTTCTTCGGATCTGTTGGAAGCTTTTTCCAAGTCATCCTGTTGGGGATGTTAGATCCCCAAAACTCTCTTGTTAATTGTCTTATTTTGGATTTGACGTTTGCCAGCATGGGCTGATCAGTTGACCTTGAGATTTCAATTCCCACCAGGAAAATCCATGGCTGTGATTGGCTGCTGTGTATTTTAGTGTGCTATTTTTGTAACTGTCCCAAAGACGTTTCTATGATGTATAAATAAACGAGAGTTGTATGCTTGATTGTACTGTGATTGCTGGGTGTTTGTAGAATATACTTTCTACGCGTACAAAGCCTTCTATCTTCAGCTCGGGATTCAAGGTAGCCTATCTGGACGCTGGTAATTGTCTCGTTCGCGTTTATCGACTAAGGTGAACTCGTAATAGCTTCAAGCGTACCTAGTGACGAACCCTACACATCCCAATACCCATGACAAGCTTAATGTCATTTGCTTTTTCTAACCAGTGAGCTATTCGTTTTTCAATATATTTTTATATGCGCATCTTAAATTCTATTCATTTCTCCTGTCACAATAAACAGATTGATTCTTGTCCGCCTTATGTGTCCTTGACTTTGTGATCTGTGTTGTACGATTATAAGCAGTAGTCAACGTTTCATGTTGTACATCATGCTAAGTTATCTAATAACGATTATTTAGATGAGTAATGTACAAAACATAGGGACTATTTGGAATATTATCCTATACACCTTAAATATAGACATATTTAATGAGCAGGATAACGGACATTTGTTTTGATTAAGTTTATTGTGATTGTTTTACTGTACCTTTTTGTTTATCCGTACTAGAAAAAACCTCCAGTTTCCATTTTTCTGTGACCTTGACTTTGTTCCCGCACACCAAAGAAGTTTCGCCTGTACATTTAGGCACGATTTGAAAATTATTTCGATACCATAAGATCGCCAACTAATATATACGTAATCACTATCTCCAACTTTCTTGTTGATTACTGTTCTACGGAAGGATTTAACCCGGTAATTGTTACGTAATTGGCCTGCGATTCGTTCCATTGCAAAACCCTTTTCTTTACTGACTTACAATTTGTGAAAACTAAATGACCTTATAATATTATCATTTATACTGTCTGATTGATGCTAATGTATGGGGTGTAATATTCGAGAACCAAGAGAGTAATCATTCAGAAGATACAAGTATTTTTCAACAGGTGTCTACTTAAACTATTTTGGATTCCTTGGCACCAGACATTATCAACAGGTTAGGCTGTATGACTGAAGAAGTATCTATCTTTATCGTTTCGCTATCGCGATTAATTATCACCATTTCTAACACTTTTAGAAGGTCAGCATTTAAAGATCAACTCGTTGAGAAGATTACCTCTTAATTGAATTTCATGATTTCGTTTCGCTGATGGAATTCATGATTTCTGAATCATTTTTGAAACTCATTAGCTGAATACGAAAGTATTCTTCTTGTTGAGAAGTATGAATAATCTTAGAACAACTCCTTGATGTGGTTTTTTATGGTAATCACTGTTGAGGCTTCAAGAAGAAACAACTATCAGATACTTCTTAATGTTCAATGATTGACCGATCAAAGTTAATTTATGAAGTGAACAATCAGAAAACCTTATCATGTAGATAAGTGACTGAAGAGGTCTAAGTAAGTTCATAAACAATACGAGAAACTCACAAATAAATCGGAGTTCATTCTA